ATTGCTATGCCTTGAATACATTCTGCTTATTGAATAACTTGCCGTGATCATGATGCACCAGAGCATTGTTGATTGTGAGTTTTCACATGAATGATTAAAATGATTACATATTATTTGATGAAAATGTTTTGTTGTTGTTTTTTCCCCATGATCATTTACGTAACATTTCATAACCCCAATAAGTCTGTACTTTGCATTGTCTGGAGCTCCACTTTTGCCAGAAAATAACCCCTCGATTTTTTTACCAAAAAAACGCTATTCGTGCATTATATGTATCATAGAATAACACTTATTTCAAAAAATACCTTTTCCACCTTTGGCATGGTATTAACATTATTTAATTTAAAACATTCAGAATGACCAAGGAATTTTTCTAATGGATGTTGTATTTGGTATATATAAAAAAGAACAAGCCTAAAATGTTAACGTTAAATTAACTTACAACCTGTTTTATCATTATATACATAAACGTTGAACATGTATATGATTCATTATTACTATCGCCCCCTCAGTGGCACAGCGGTATGTCTGGGGACTTGCAACGTTAGAAATTAGATTTCGATACTCATGGTGGGCAGAGTACAGATAACCCATTGTGTAGCTTTATGCTTAACTTTAAACAGTTATCACTGTCTGAAAAACATAATGGTTTTAATGGAAGTTTATATAAAACTGGGTGACATTACGTGCGGTAGTTACTGAAGAATAAATCAACAAGTATTTTGCAGGTGAAAACACCGAAGACAACAATGTGTGAATTACAGGTATATATTTAATATATAATTTTGTCGATACAACGTTTCAGACAATGATCTTCTTCAGGTATGTGTAACTGAAAAACAAATCTGTAAACGAAAAAGTTCCATTTCGAAGATCACTTGACACTATAACACGTAAACTTTTATATATGCTTGAAACAATAACAGAGAAAATTAGAAAATACCACACACACATACATTAAAACGTTCATTTATCTCATGAGGGTAGATAGTTTCAATGTCAAAAATAATTTTGTTTTGTTGTAGATCGCAGTTATATTTATTCGTAGAGGCTTTTCTCAAAACAAGTATTTTAAAACTTTCCAGGGTGTTGTGCAAATTAAAATGTCGAGCTACTGGTATATCTCCGTCACAATTTATTGTTTCTCTGAGATATTCTCAGGTACGTTCTGCTAATAATCTATTGGTTTCTCCTGCGTATAATTTTGCACAATATATGGCGCATTTTGATGTGCAGTCATGTTGATCCTTAATGTAAAAACTCGATTTAAGAACCTGCGCAGATGTTATTGGGTCAATGTAAGCACAAGTGTTGCAGCGCCTTCTATTGCAAGGATAGATATCTACATTAATATTTTCTAGAGCAATGTCTTTAAGAGAGCTTGGAGTTTGTTCCTAGGAGATATGAAGAGGAGTTGCGGTCTTAATTTATAACAGTTTTTCAGGATATGTTGGGGTAGTCACAATCATAGAAAAATAATTCCAGTTTTGTGTTTGTAAATTCTATACATTCAATCAAGATATTGTTAATTATCTATTGGTTTAATGTAAATGGCTATTGTTCGAAACGAACAATACTAAGGAAGGGGCAGTGTTACGACAGCGGAAGTCGCGTGACTCTGGTAACACGTCATGAGATTCTAGAAGGATCTTGACTTTCGCTGGCAACTCTAGTCTTTTCTAGTCGCCCTCTTTTTTTTTGTATATAAGCCGGCAAGTAAAGCGAGATAATTAATTGCAGATAGACAGACATAGAGACAAATAATTGAGTCAAGGGAACAGTAGGCACCGTATATAAAGTGTGTGAATCGCTGTGAATTATAGCGTGTGTTTATATATTATCAAGTTTTAAAATAATAAAAAAAGAGAATTAAATCAAAATTAGAAAGTAACAGTAATTGGTGGTATAATCGACACAAGTTATTAACCTTTCAATAAAATAAATTAAGAAAATAAAAAAAAAAGCTGTTAAGAACCAAAGGATAGAAACATTACAAAAGCTAAAATTTTCATATATCCCATCGGGTTGGGTAGTTCCTAGGTCAAATATAATTTTTTGTATTTTAAAATGTTTTAGGGTATGGTTGTGCATTGCCCGAATCATTGTATCAACAAAAATATATATTAAAAAATATTTAACTCTAATTAACACTTTGTTGGCTTCGGTGGTTAAAATTACAAAATACTCCTTAATTCTAATGAAAGTTTGAGATTGAGAGGCAAATAAATTAAATAGCAGTACTGTTAGGTGTGATGGCCAGAGTGACTGAAAGAAGCAATTTCATTGGTTATGTCTTATGGTTGGACATTTACGCGGTGTTTTTAAAAGTGATACTATTAGGCCTAACAGTTTTTCATAAGCTTGCTTTTGTATTTAAGTTTTAACGAACTTTATCCAGCAGTATTATACAAAACAATATTTTGCAAACACAAGTTATTCAAACATTTGTAAGCACGAAATTGTTGATTACAATATATATATATATAGTAGCTTTATTAGCAACATATAATTCAGAACTTCAACCATTTAGTAATAGTATTATTAATAGCAAAACTACTAGTGACTACTACTAACGACTAAGAAGTCGTTATCGTTTTCACGATTACTAAACCTACCTGATACTGAAGTAATTACTGTTGTAAGTAGACTTACAAATAGTAATATCTAATGACTTTGAGTTTATAAATTTTAATTGTTAGTGACTTAGATCTTGTACTTTGTAATTATTAATAAACAAAACTAGTAGTAGTACTGTTGCACGTACTTACACTACTAGTACTACTGTAGTGTAATACTAAAAGTAATAATCAAGGAAGCCTGCAGAAAAAATTAGGGGGGTCAAGTAACTCAAGTTTGAAAAAATTATGAAATCGAAATACAAATACCTTATAATTTTCCAATAACATAGAAGAATAATTTTACATATCTAGTAATTTTTTTTATTTCTTGAAAATCCAAGGGGTCCTGCAGGCGCCTATGGTAATAATACTAGTAATAGTAGCAGAATAAAAGTCATGCCCAGTGTCTAAGCTATACCTTTTGGGTACTTATTAAACGTGAATTTTAAATTTAAAGCACAAAACAGATTTCAAACAAATATTCCACATTTATGCTCAAGTGGAAAAAAAATCCATGATTCCTGTTTCTTCCCAAGGTCAATGAGAATGACATGCAACAGACAGTTATTAACATATTAGTACTCCAATACTTGTTTAAACGTTTTAGTAAATATTTTACTGTATGAAACCAACTTTAAATATTTTCATGTTATGTGAAGATTTCTTCTAGACATGTAATTTAAAATACTAAACCTTGTTCTGTTCATCATAGCAGTGTTATTTCAATGGAAAAAACCCCATAAAATACCTATTGTAAGCAAACCATGGTATCAATGTTTTATATCTGAATGGTAGAAAAAGCAATATAAAAAATATTGTGGTTGTTTGGTTTAAAAATTAATTTTTTTTTGTATGTCATTTACACAAGCAAAGGTGCTTGCTTTTAGTATTAAGTTTTAAAAGGAAGTTTAAATAAGAAAAGCAAAGAAACTAAGTTAAAAATACACTTTTACACTAAAATCAAAATTTATATAACAATATAATATTCAAGAAAGTAAAATAGCCAATAGATAAATAGTACTAATTTATAGTTTTAGATATATTTTTCCAATATGTACTGCCCAAGAGGTAGCAGATTTAAATATTGTATCTATATAGTATTAATCTAGCTTCTAATGGTTGTATGCATTTTGTTTGTTTGTTTGTTGTTTTTTTGCAGGGGGAAAACATACCAAGTGGACATTCTGATAATGACTTTGTGTGAGAACTTGTTAGAAAAATTTAATTCCCATTTAGACCCAACTGAGAAGTTCATAAACGGAGAACTTGACAAATGTCAGCAGAATGCACTGATGTGTTTACAATGCTTTATAAATAGTACAAAACACTGGGATCGTAAGTAAATTATTTTTAATTTATCAAATTGTGATTTTTGCCAGGTCTAATATAAAATAATTAATGAATTTTTTCACATTATTATTGAAATTAATAGCCATTTGTATTAATGAAATTAAAAAAAAGTAATAAATACTGTATATGTGCCTTCAAGTTAACTGCATAGGTGAAAATTATTTCCTTATTAAGGTTTTTTTTTACTAATGTGGTTTGCAACAGAGAAATAATGCTTTAATTTCCTTTAATTACTTGCAACTTCACAAATCAGTTATGCATTTAGTTATTAGGTTATTGAAACATTTGAGTATGTTTATCATTCAGCCTATTAAAAATCATGTTCATACAGGTTACTTATAAATAAGGTCTGTATATGTATGAACGTTATCTCATATTAAACAGGTTGAAGAACTGTGAGAACTATGCATAAAATTGGAAATAATTGTGGAAATACAAAGGTGATGCCCATACATGAGTCGCAGACAATAAGTAATTGTAACTAAATGGTCAATTTGTCATTAGTATAATACATTATTACAGAAAATACAAAAAAGAAAGTAAATAAGTTATAAATTAAAATAGTGTTTTGTATTTGCTTTAAACAGAAGCAGTACAGTACATATTGTTTTTGTGCTACCATAACTTTATCAATGTATGATTGTGAAATACTGTTCCAAATATCAGGTATTGCCTCAAAATTCACCCAAGTTATTTGGTTGCCATATGGCCCTCTCAGTTTCCATATGTACCTATTCAGTATTAATATTTTTCATAACTAGACATTGTGCAGGTTAAACAATGTTTACAAGTGTTCCACCAGCCTTTTCTTGCTTCCAGTTTTCATTTCACCACATTTTCTATATGTTTGGGATCACTATCATGTTTGATGATGAATTCTTGCTCACCTAGAGGTCTTTGGCAAGATCTCTATTGGATCGTTGTTTATATTGTAAAGAACATACCCCGAGTTACTTAATATTACTTTAACAAAACTTGGGCTTTCTACCTCAGTTTCTTCCAAGAACAACAGTTTTATGTACTTTGTTCTGTGTTTCCATCAGCTCCTAATAAAATATGAAATTTTGCTCCTATCTGTTGCATAGCCAATAGCTAAAACTATATCTACATGTTTGTTATGTGGCATGTCTGTCACAAGTTCATTCATCATAAAAAAATGGAGTTATTTAGTTTCTGACTACTTGTATGTTTATAAGCATTATGCTGATGTGACATTGACTGACTGGTTGGATCACAGCCAATCAATGTCTAAATTTTCAATACTTCATTTTCATTCAGTACAGTGGGAGCTGTTCCGTAATATTTGTATTTTATTCACTGTTTCAATAATTATTTCCAACATTAAGCTTATCATTAAATGCCTTATATATTGTACATTCCTTACGTGTTTTTAATAATGACTAAAACAGTTTAATTTGATCAATTCATATAAAAGTGATGAAGAAAATGTTCTTAAGGACATGATAAAGTGAAAACTGAAGTTTAGTAGGAAAGTGTTATGGGCTTTAACTGGTATATCCCAGAAGTTAATTGACACATAGGAAATTAATGATGATTAGAAGATTGCCAATGTGTGAAACCTTATTTTAAAAAAAAGTAGAGGAAAGTCATGGAACTGTACAACTATCAGTTTAACTTCTGTTATATAAGATTTTAAAATCTGTTGATAGGAATAATTTTGAAAATGCAGGGAAAGTTGATATTTAATAAATAATACTAAGTATGGACCAGTTTTTCTAATGATACTAATTTATTTGATTTTTCTGTTAAAACTTCTGCTTTTCAAGATGATGATGTTTTAGCTGATGTATTACATAATTGCCTTTCATAAACTCTGTGATAAGATGCCCCATAAAGATTAATAAATAAATAAGATTACAATGGAAAAAGTTAAGAAATAGGTTAGTGATAGGAAGAAATGATGTTGATAAATAGGCAATTTTGAGAATGTGGTTAACCTCATTAATTGATATCACTGATTACATCTGAGCATCGATTACATTCATTAGTGCCATGTAACATAATCTTTTAATTGAAGTTATGATTAAATCAATTAATGACATAAAAATAATCAACTAGCGTTTGCAATTATTATTAGTTTGGATTATTCCAACTATCCAGTAATGAAATATTGTCATTATTAGGGCCACTTGGAGGAAGGGGGGTCAAGGAGGGCCAATTGACCCAGGCCTCAAGCTCAAAGGGGGCCTCAAATTTAGTTACTTGTTATTTTTTTTGCATTTGTTAAGTTTTGCAACTTGTTTTTATGTGCTTCCCGATCAGACCAATATGTGAAACATACTCTCAGCTACAGCTGCAAATTATATATATATATATTGAAATTATGTTTCATTTTTCTTTTTGGTTATGTTTGTCTTATTTTGTTTTCATATGTCAGTATTTCTTATATTTATTATAGCCAGGGGCTTCAAAATATATAAGTGGCCTGGAACTCTCTGAAACTCTGAGAGGGGGCTGGCTATTATAATTTTTCATTAATTAAAGTTTGGTCAGCTCAATTAATTTATGTTATGACTCGCTAAATAATAAAGTTATTGAAATTAGTGTTTCCAATTATTACTATTTTCGACTATACCAACTATCCAAGTAATCTAAATATTGTAAGTATGTTTGTTGTTAAACACACAGTGGTGCATTATAAGTTGTTATTTTCGTCATCGCATGTGAGAATAATCAGTTAGTTGGATGTGATCGATTAATGAGCCCAATGATTAATCAGTTTGCAAGTTCCACTAATGACCCAAATGTTTCTTGTTAGTGGGTTTTTCAAGAGTTTGTTTGAGACCTTGGTTGTTCATTATTTTTCTCTCAAATATTTAGATAACTTCATGGACAGTACTACTCTTAGATTAGCTATGATACTATGATGTTTGAAAGCTTTAGCTTGTCACTGGTGAAGATGTGCATGAATTTTTTAATTAGAAGGCCTTTGTTTATAAGAGAATGGAACTGTTGGTTTGTGAAGAAAGAGAAAAATTTAGGTGTGATAAAAACTTGATGCCTTAAGTCTTTGGTGAAACTTCATTTGGGATATTGTGTGCAGTTTTAACCCATTTAATACAGGAAGAATATCAACATGTTTTAAAGTATATAGAAACAAGCTATTAAAATGATACCTAGTTTAAGAAGTATCATGTATGAAAAGATGCTTAAAACTTGAAGTTATTTTTTAAGAAATATAGGAGAACTGAAGGTGACATATTTAAATGTTCAAAATATTTTAATGTTTTTGATTATCTGCTTGAATTTATGGGTAGTCTGTTTAAGCAATAGAATGAAAAGGTTTGAAAAGTAAACTTCATCATTACATGTAATAAGTTTAAACTATTTCTATGTTAGTTAAAAATGTATGAAAACATTTGCCTGATGTTGTGGTGTGTCTATTAGATTATATTTTCCAACATTGTATCTTAACTCCTCTCACTCAAATAGCTATTCTCATTCAGTGCTTCTCCCTATTTGCAAAATTTTTTTCACATGCTTAAAAGCTTTGAAACATCCACTTACTCCATGATCAACATGGTTCACTGCATCTTCACATGTAAATCATCATGCGCCAACCTCCACCAATAAGAGTGTGACACAGCCTCCTGATGCTTATGGCTCCCTCTATTTGATTCTACCTGGCTATTACTTCTCACAAGGCAGTTATTGAGTGCAGATGTTCTTAACATTTTGTTGTTTTTCACTTGATATTTTCTTTCACTTTGTGAAGTAGTATTTTAACATTTCTTGTTGAATTTCTACAGTTTGTTCACTGTAATTTTTACCAAGTCCATTCCATTTCATTTTGGATTTCTAAACTTCGTGTCATATCTTCCAAAATTCTATTCCTCCCGCTGTGTTGACTTTTTTCCCTTTTTATGTTTCTTTTATCAATTTGACTGTGTCTTGGCAAGTTATTTTTTATACTTATTATTTTCCTTCTGGTCAAATGTCCCTTTTTAGGTATAGGATCCCAATCATTGGTGACCATTGTCTGTTCAGTTATGCTACACATATAACCAAATTCCACACTATATGGCTAATTATAAGACCTACCATGATATATTCTTTCTTGCCTCATGACTAAGTCACTCTAACCCTGTGTGGTGGGTCCCAGGGGTTGTGTGGTCCCGAATCTGATTATTCTGCTGAGTGTGGTTAATTGGGAAGTTCTACGAGTGATCCATGTGCACCAGCCTCTGTACAGTCCTATCTTTGGTTGATGCTGCTTGTGTTCCTACTATCTACTTCTGATGCTCCATCTCATTGGAGTTGGGCCCAAGTAGGATATTGTACAGAATAGCCTGGCAAGGATTGTTTGGGATGTCACACCGAAGTGGTCTTCGAGGGGTAGCTGTTCCAAATGAGATTGGGGTGTTCCACAAGATTGCTAGTAGATTTTCTTTGTGATATAGTTGCTTTATTACTATTCCTGTTCTCGACCGTACTAACCCATGGTCTTACATGGGTAAAGCAAAAGAGGATAATTGTCCATCTCTGCTGTCCCTTTGATTGAACAAATCAGGGACAGTCTGCTTTTCAAAATAGGGTTTTCATGGTTACTCGTTATACTGTCTCTGGTGTTGGCATTCCTCCAAACTCTCCACCTCATTTTATTCCCCCTTGTTCTTCTAGTGTAGTATGAGAGTCCTTACCACTTTCCAGTTCAGAGCCACTGGGGTGGTGGACCATTGGAGGAGTCCTTCTGAATATGATCACTTCCATTTGGTAGAGAGTAGTGCAATGGTGTTCTGCTGGCATAGATGATGTTAGATCCTCCAATCATGTGCGCCATGTAGTGGGCTCCAGTGGTGGATGTTGCATCCAGCATCTGTGCAGTTATATCCTGAAGGTGAGGTTGCATATCTTTTGCAAAAGCAATCCACTTCTGTGTGGTGGGATTCGGAGGTTGATGATGTGCTCCAGCTTTTGTGTGGTCCTATCCGGTGGATAATGTTCTTTGAAGTGAAAGTTCTCCCTCTAGCACTCCACCTCAGAGATTTTCCTTTACTTGAGGCTGCTGTTGTGCAGTGGGGTCTCATTCAGATTGGGCTTGATTTGATGTGAATCACCACATTGGCTCATTCCTTCCTACCATCATTTGGGTGTCTGGTTGTGATTGTGGATTTGTACACATGTGCCCAGTTTAGTACTTCAGTTTGAAAAGTATATACTCCAGTTCTACTCTACTTGAGATGAAGACGGTGTGGACCCTTTTCCTACCATGAGTATGAAGTTGTATTCCCAATGCCACTTGGTTTTGGACTGGAGTTGAATGGCCACATACAGTCCAAGATGCCCTAGCCACTCTACATCTTGGGGCACATTAATTTTAGTTTTCCCTACATTCTTGTCTCCCTTTTTGGTTGTGCTCCTCCCATTTTCTGCCCCTGTGTGTGACATTTATTTCTACACTGGGTGTAGAGTATACCTAGTACAGAAGTGGTGTGGTCTCCCACATATGTTCCTTTTTCAATGGGAACACCCTTCTTGGGTGTTCTTTGGACACTTTCCAAGGATACTTAGCTATATCTCTCCACCGAATCAGTACAAGATAAGCAGTTATAACTTTCCTACAATGAAAATTTATTTTTCGATAGGTATTTACCTACTATCACACTTCCTACCCTTCCCCACTTAAAACTGATGCTTGTTTTCTGCTTAATCTCAAAATGATAGTTAGGCAGAATTGAATAGAGGGAGCCACATGCATCAGGAAGCTGTGTCACACTCATATTGGTGGAGGGTTGCTGCATGATGATTTACATGCAAAGATGCAGTGAACCACATTGATCATGGAGTAGTTTGAAGTTTCAAGGCTTATGGCATTCAAAAAAGTTTTTGCATATAGAGGGCAGCACTGAACGAGAATAGGTATTTGTGTGAAAGGAGGTAAGTACTTATAGAAAATAAATTTTTAGTGTAGGAAACTTATTACTTTTGAAACTTTAGCTAAATATGTATATGAATATAAAGGGTGATTTTTGGTGAATAAAAGGTAACCTTGATAGGATGTTTGTTCTAATGTTACTTTTTCACACATACTTTCATAATGTTACATAATTTGTTTTGTTTTTATACTTTTTATTACATGTAACAGTGCTCATTTATTTTTGTGATACTTTTTCAGGTGAGAAACGAGGAATAGAAAAATATTTCCAAACACTAAAGGAAGATGTATAAGAACAGAAAAAAGGTACAGATATGGATAACAAATGTATTCCACTTTTCAAAAAGAAAATTCAACAGTAGCTTAGAAATAGGTGGGGAAATTGTCCCAGCCCTTACATGTATGAGAGAGAGAAGGGAATGTAGGACATATTGATTATCCTACAAATATTTTATAAAGCTGGAAGAAAAGAATACAAAACTTGGCAATGAAAAAAGATAATGATAACTCAATTGGATTTTTATCCTAACATTCCAGTGTTTATTGAGTAAGCTTTTAAATATTTAATTAGTCACCTGCAGTCTAAATCATACATGATAAAAACAAAATTATACTGTAGTAAATATGTTTACAAAAATAATGCATCATCTGTTGCTACAACAATAAAAACACTTATTTTATGATCCAAGCACTATCTATATAGATCAGAACTAAAGATTAACTCAGTAATGAATAAATTTAATTTACTGTTTTAACATTCTTTTTTTTTGTACTAATTAGAATTTTTGTTTCATCATTTGGGTACCCTTGTTTTTAGTGTAATGTCATATAGAGGATTGTAACAAATGATGATCATTTATAATTTTTTATAACAATGTTTGATACTTATAGAGTCAAGTAGATTTTGAAGAAAAGAGGTAAAATCTTGCTCAGTAAATATTAAACATGAAGAGAAAAACAGATATTATTTATCATAGACTTCCACACAGAAGCCTAGATATAAACAGTTTTTTTTTAAGTCATTTTTGCAGCCTTTTGGAAGCTGCTTCTAATTGGCCAACATATTGGCAACTGTTCTGGACAAAAGATTGTTGATGGTGCAGAAATGTGCAGGCTTTTCAGTCTGCTGTAGGGAAAGAAATCGCCCAATTATCTGCCATAAGAGACTTGACTTACTTGCTGACTGCTGAGAGTAGTTTCCTAGGTTTATATGTACAGCCTGCTTAATATTTTCAACAATCTTTGTGACACTTTTAATCCAGAACACTAATTTTTTAAAACTGAAAATGATAAGAAACTGCTTGCAAAGTTAAATGATTCAAGAAAGATGAAAGACCTGTGAATCCTGTCCACTGTGAAAAAGTGCTAAAAAATATCTTCAAAGAAGATGCTATTTTCATTATAGAAGGTACACAATTGAAGTTTCAAATTATGAAAATTGTAACCATTATTGAATACTAGTCATTTTAATTATCATACATATCATTTATTGTTTAGAAAATATTCTTTGTTAGATTAATAGGAAACAGAATAAAAAGCTGGGGATTAAGGGAAAGGAAGGGAAATTATTCTGTTTATGTTATTGTCAGATAATGATTAGTGGGGGGGTGGGAGACAACAAATCTTACTTCAGGACCTTTAAATTCCTTTCTTTATTACTGGAATTTCATCTTCATCATCACAAGTGATTAAAATTGTACCTTACATATGAGCAACAACTCCTCTAAACGTAATGAGATAAATTTATTCCTTGATTCACTTATACAGTCATAGAAAGTCAAGAAAGAAAAGATCAAGAACTAATCAAGTAGTTAAGTGATATTCAAGAAGAGATAGAGCATTTTCTTCTGGAAGAGAAAGAACTTCAAACACTTCTAAATTCAACTGAAACTAGTCTTCGAAGAAAAAAAATCAGGTCAGTTTAGGTGATAATAAGCCAAAAATAAAGATTAGATGCTGATATTGTACAGAATTTGTTACCTTGTATCCGAGATAAACATTTTGACTTCTTAAGTAAGATTTTAAGAAAAAGTTAAAAGTTCTTCATGTCTCACGGTTGAGTATTTGTGGCCCATACACATGCACAGTATGAAAAATAAATAAAGAAACTACATATGAAGCAGTGTTAGAGCTGAGTGATTAGTGGTATTTGCTAATTAATATACGTTTACCACCCCATTCCCACACACAAAAAATGGAATGCACTAACTTCATAACTTTGAACTACTGCATTATTTGAAATGCCCTTAATGTGATATGATAGATCTCTTCTGTAGATTGCCACTTGCTTACTTTGTAAAACAAGTTTTTTTGTATAAAAAAATATTTTACCACAGAATGTACAATTTATATGTACAATCTGGACATTTTCTACTTGGCCAGTGAATTGCTAATGTTGGTTAGAAACAACCAGTCAACTGCCATTTTGTTTGTTTTAAAATATACAGTAATCCCCACTGATTTTGTGTAAATAAAACAAATCTAATCAAAAACACCTTAGGTGTGAAAAAAGGTGTGGCCAAAAAGGATTGAGCGTGCAACTTAAAGGAATGATATCAAAATTAAAATGATTTGATGTAAATAATAAAAAAACATGTTTACAAACATTGCACTCAATAAAACTGTAGTATATTTTTAAAAAAAAGTATAAAATTTAATTTTAAACAAACATCAACAGATATCTTTATTAAGCATTAAGCAATTTTCAGTCATGTTACCTCTGTTTTATTATATATATATATTCCTGTGTCCAAGTAAACTACTTGCACTTGATAGCAGACCACCTCCAAACATTGTACATTTGTTGCTGCATCAAATTTATAATAGAGCTTTCCTTGTTACTCATTCAACTTGTCTCTAAACTGTATAAACTTACCTTATCTAAAGAAAAAAATTCTTTAGCTTTCAAACAGATATAACTTAACATGCAAATACTTTCACGATTCACAAAGTAAATTAACATTTACAGAAACTACAAGAAAACAACACTTAAACTTATGTACATTCTACTATGATGTGATAGTATAAGTTTTGCTTTATCCAATTATGTTTAAACTTATAATCAATTACCAGGGGGAAAAAACTTTGTGCTTGAAACATATTTTGGGTTATAGTATTTTGTATCTGAATGCACAAAGTTCATCAAATGTGAAGGCAGTGCTATGTATTTAAAGTAATTAAAACAGTTACATGACCTGCCTAAACTACTAGTGGCTGTGCAGAACATCTCAAGAACTGTGAGGTTAAATCTAAGAGGGTTAAACCTATTCCACAACATGTGATATCCACCAAACATCCCTAGTAAGCAACATCAGATCTAGTGACATTTTCACAAGTTGGGTATTAGGGGCAAGTATTAAAACACAATGGGGAGATGGTATTGGTACTAAAGCACTATAAATGAATGAAGAAATTCAGACACTAAATCTTAACACCTAAACACTGCTGTTTGAGTATGAAACTGACTTTCATATTAGCTTAAAAATAATCAGTTATTGGTTGTTGTATTAGCTGATAAATAATCAGTTATTGGTTGTTGTATTAGCTTAGAAATAATCAGTTATTGGTTGAGACCTTAACTGGATTGCTGTAAACTTCAGCTGTGTTGAGTTCAGAAAATGCAGAAGGCTTTTAGTGTAATTAATAGTCCAATGAAATGCAAACACTGACATTTAATGTTTCTTTTTGATACTTTGTGGTAGAGTATGTCTGAATGTGTTTTTATTAATTTCTGAAAAAAATAAATAGAGAGGTGGGTGGGTTCCACACTCTCCATATGTGTGCCTACTTATACAACATGAAAGTGCATACTTACTAATTTCTGAAAAAAATGGAGGTCTGGATCCCCTAGATCCACATCTGCTTTTACAACTTTAAAGAATACAGTTACTAATTCATGAAAAAAAAATGGATGGAGGATCCAGCCCTTCTGGGTCTGTCCTTTAGGACCATACCTGCTTATACAACATTAAAGAATGTGGTTACCCAATCATAATTAGAAGTGTAACACAACGTTAAAAAAATATAAATGTACACTTTATTTAACACTTAAATAATTAAATTGATGACAGTAGCAGATAACCTTAGTAACTTTGCCATAACCAAGGCACAGTGAGCAAGTTCAGAAACATCACTTACTTCTCTGTACAACAAAGAGCTATTACCTCCTGCTCACTGCTGTGTAAATTCCCGCTACATACTTTGAAGAAAGCTTAAATCCCTACATATGACAACATGTACTGGACCAGCCTATGATGTAATCATCATTAGACTATAGTCCTCCAATAATAGGAGGATAACACATCATTCATGTGCAGTAATCCCATGAACACTAGCACTTGAACAAAGAGTCATTCTTTCCTTGGCACTGCTTGTCTTCATATGTTTTTTTTAGAACTTATCTGAATTTTTGAGGTTATTATTATTATTATTTTAAAATTATTACCATTTGTGGTGTATCTTTCTTTCCCCAATTCTCCTGATTACATACAATAACAATACCACATTTTAAACTTTTCAGTTGGAATTTTGATTCTTGTTCACTTCCATATGATTTTCTTTTACTGAAATTTGTACTTTTGAGACATATATCTCATTGTCTGTTCCCAGTGTTTAACCCAACACAGGGTCTTCATCCTGTATTCTTTCTGGTTATTAAACCTATGCACTGTTAACACATATGGCTTATTTTGTTAATCATATTTTACAATCAGACCCACCACAAAACCATTTTCTTGGATCAATTGGATTCCACATTCATGTTTCCATGTTTCTGACATCCAAGTTTTTTGACACCCCTTCAAAGGTGTCATCCAATACTGTAATGGTGACTGAAAGCACTCTAATGGTCCTTGATATTACCACTATTGTGCACCAAGTGGTTAATTTTATTATGGTCCTGGATCTAGATTCCTGACCTCTTGCTTCTGTTACTTCAGCTGAGCATGTCCCATCTGATAATGTGTTTCACCACTGTTGTTTCCATGACTGCTTTTGCTTATAGTTCCCTCTTCCTGCTGAGGATGTGATAGTCCTACCTTTGTTTTTCACTGCTTGGATTCCACAGTTATGTGTGTTTTGTTTCTTCTTTCTCTATTTTATGCTGTATCCTGAGCTAACTTGTTGCATGAGCCTCCATAACTTGAATCTCTTCTTTCAGTTTAGTGATCTCCTCTTTTACCTTTTGTTTCTTCTTTCTTTCTCTCCTTCTTTTTCTATATACTTGTCCCCCCCCTCCAATGGCTGAGCAGTAAGTCTGAAGACTTGCAATTCTAAAAAGCAGGTTTTGATACCCGAGGTTGGCACAGCACAAACAGCCCATTGTGTAGCTTTGTGCATAACAACAAAGAAACAAACAAACCATCTACATGCCTTCCTTTCTTACTGAACTTCTTTGTTAATCCTCAAGCTTTCCCATCTTTTAGGGCCTTCACTTCATGACCCTAACAGCTTCACTGGGTAACTTGCACGTATCTGTTTTATACCTTGCTCTCAATTTTTTATCATTTTATTCCAGTTAACTTAGCTTCTTTTTTTCTTGAATGTTGCCTTACTTTCTGACATTCACCTTCCTCAGTCTTTTCTACTGGCACTCTGTCTTGTAACCTTTCTTTGTGATATAATTTTTTGGGGGTATTTCTTCTATTTTAACATTTTGAATTGATGCAGCTCATCACCAGTCTTCTGCTCACTTTGGGTTTTGCCTTTGGAACCAAGTGATTCTACTAGGTTTCTCATCACATACAGCCTTGTGAGATTGTCCTCTCTCACCTGTTCCTTATCCTCTTGTTACCATCTAAGATCTCCCACCCCTCATTGAGGGTTAGCTGTTGTGGGTTTTAAGGGTACTTGTTTCTGATGCCAGCTCAAAGCTATGGTCCTATGGGAGCTCTGCTCTCCCACTTTGTATGTTCCCCTTTGTTACACCATAATGAGATCTTCAGGTGTGTTCTCAGTGGTTTTTTTCCTGTCTTTCTATTTTCTACTTCAACTGTTTCAAATGCTAGGGAACAATTCCTCTACCTCACTCTTGGGTTTTATTCCCACCCTTTTGTCATTTCCATGAAGATAAGTGGCTGGTGGTCAGTCATTTGGTTTTTCCTCGGTTCTCAATGAATGATTTTATCACTCTGCAGTGGATAGTCTCCCTGGTAGTGGTTGACCTGGTTTGAGGTCTCAGACACTTTCTCCACATCCCAACTTATCCTCCTACCTTTTGGTTTTGTCCACAATTGTTGAACATTCAGTTGTCAGCCCTTTCTTTCAAGTTGGCTCTAGCCTCATCTTTTTCCTTTTTTTTGGGGGGGGGGGGTCCAGTGGGCTTTTACTTAGTGTTTACATTTTTGAGGCTTATTATTCCACTACCCTGTTGACATTTGGCCTCTACTTTACCCTTCTAACATGACTTCCTTTGAGAGTTTTCTTGTTTTACGTAGCTGGCTCAGTTCTCTTAAGGGTCTTTCTTACTATGTATTCATGAAAAGTCAGCTGATTTCTTTATGTATTTGAGATTTGGAACTGTGGATCCTCAAGCTTTCGTGTCTCCATTTCTTGTCTGAAAGGATTTGTCTCTTGAGTCCATTATCAATCTTCAAGATGCCCATGTGTGTTCCTATCTGTAATTTCTGGCCTGTCATTGTAAATATATTCAGAGATCCATCTTCTTTCTCTTGTGGTTGTTGTGTTCTCACTTGATCCCATATGACACTGGATGTCACTCTTCCCCCAGACTTGCTTCTATTAGAGCCCTCCTGGTCTCATAAGTACATCTTTTGGTTCTTTTTGCTCATGCTTATGGGTTTCCATGATGGCACATTTTGTTGCTTTGTGCTTGATGTCAATCAGTCCTACAGATACACCTTTCCATCACTTCCTCTATTCATGTGGGGTGCTGTTCTGGAAATCTTGCCTGTTTTGGACATCTGGTCTCTGAAGAAGGGGTTCTTTTATGTCTTTCAGATGTTGGCTATTCTGCATACTTGCCTTCATTTTCTGTTTTGTCTATCTGGTTTCATCTTTGTAATTTCTTTTTCTGCACTAACTCCTCTGCCATTTTCAATATCAAATTCTAGCTCTTAGTTGTGCAGAAAGGTAAGTGAAATTTCTAAAGTTAACATTTTCCTATGCTGAAATTGTATTTCAGATAGATACTGACCTTTCTGCATAACATCCGACCCTTCCTATCCACTTCTGGTGCATTTCCTTTGCTTTTTTAATTTGCTAGTGCTCATAGGGACTACTGCTCTTAAGGGATGTATCACCCTCCTAGTGGTGTAGGGTAATTGTCTAGTGATGATTACATCATAAGCTGGTGCAATACAAATTGACATGTGTACGGTTGGGAGTTTTGTTCAAGGCTTGTGGTATATGCAAGGAATTTACATGGCAGTGTGCACAAGGTAATAGCTTGTTGTGCAGAGAGGTGAATATCTATCTGAAGTAAGGAAAATGTGGCAGTTGTAATCAGACCCAAAACCTAACATAGAGGCCTAATCTATTCTTTGATTTTCTACTTGTGCTGCGGCAAACTAATTTTGCTGAATTTACAGTTCATCAGTGCTGTTTGGAAGAACACGCAAATAAACAATGTAGCCCTCATATAGTGAAGTAATGCAAGCAGTTTGTTTAGTTTTTAGTGGTAATGGATTATATACACCTGGAAAAAAGTTAAGCACCCCCGTGTTTTTTTCAAGTGATTCAGATTCGACGTTCTTGTGACT